AATTAGAATAATTATCGAGTTCCAACAAAATAAATAATTATTATCTTTATAAAAAATTATATTATTAAACCAAATATAAATTACTTCGTTATTGTACACAAATTAAATTATAAAAAAATTGAATTAAAAAATTACACAAAAAAAATGAATTTCAAATAGTTAATTTGATACTAATATCGATATATTTTTGTCATATTTTTATGATATCTTCAAACATATATTTTATTCAAAAATAAAAACATCATCGCTTTCTCAAAATCACATAAAGCCATATTATAATATCGACTGAGATAAAGAATAAAATGAAATATTAAAATCACGATGTATCTCGCTGCATTGCGCGAGTACGCTTCTAGTAAGAATAAAATTCAAAATACTATTTCTAAATATTAATTCTTTATAAACAATCTATTTAATAATAAATATATAATATATTTAATAGACGGGTCGGATTGGGATCACATAACCCGACACTGTCACGGTTTTTAACTTTTGGGGTTCTCTGACCCCATGCCCCCATCAATGATCCCTTGGTTTTGCGGGGAATCCTCGGCCCAGTTAAGACGGCTACACCGGGTTCCCCAACGAGGCCATTGAGGCGGGTCTCATTCATATGTCTATCTCTTCCTTGTGACTCGCTACTCTCTTCCTCTCACGCCATAGGCAACCATACTTCCTCAAATCCCATAATATCTCATTTTAGCCTTTGTCGCTAGCAATTCGACTGTAAAACCACTGACAAACAAAGCAGAAATCAAGCTTAACTGTATCTGAATAAATCAATAAATTAACAGTTTTTCTCTTTTCTAATATATTTTTTATGATAAATTAATTTGTTTTGTGGTGATGTTATGATAAAATGAGGCCAAAAGTTGGTGGTAATGGAAAGTATCCAGTGGACAAAGTGGCGAGTAGCGATGGTGAGTGGAAGAGAAGCTTCTAAAGACTATTGTAGCACCTTAAAGGAGAGAGGGACTCCATTAATACATTGAATAGGGATAAAGTCTCTTTTAAATAGTCAAACACTTATTACTTATAATGATAATCTAGAGTTCAACATCAATACATAATAATTCAAACCTTACACAAATTTATAATTAGAGACGGACGTTACTAAAACTCAACAACAGTCGTTATCTCCAACATATGAAAGATGTCCCCCAAATAACTATTTCTTTCTCGTGCATCTAGTAGCACTCAACTCTTCATGATGTCGTTAGTATCATTCCCCAACAAGGACTTGATGCACATGCCAACAAATAAAAAAGGTTAAACTTAATACCTAGTGAGTTCAAACAAGTTTCATCAAAATTATAAAACGGTACAACTGAAAGACCGATTATTTAAAACATGATTTCTCAAATGCAATGTTTTTATCATAAAAGCAACAGCTCTCCAGTACCCACCATTTTCGTGATGAAAACTCTAAATTAGAACACCCGTTCAATATGAATTCAAAACCCAATACTCACTCCAAAAGGTAAATAAAGTTTAATGTCCAAATACTGTAAACATGGATGAAAACTTTATTATCCAAAAATGCCCAAAACCATAAATAATGGAAAACACATCATACTTAAGACGACACTAAAAACCTTGATAACACACTATCCGAAAATAACACGTTTTGGTAATGGGGGATACTTGTATCCACCGAATGTGGCGAACACAAAAGTAAACCACAAATCGTTGTTAATGAGCCTCAACTATGGATCATATGGTCATCAAGTTCAACCATCGATGGTATGTAGTTTGATTCCTCCGTTGATCCTAGACTAGCTCGTTTGCTAAAAATAATAGCCACTAGGACTACACGGTCATTAAGTTCAACCACCCATGATATATGGCTTGAGTCCCTGCTACATCCAAGTTTCTAGCAATAACATAGGGACAAAAGTCTCATTCCAAACTATCAAATTAATTCATATGCATATGGATCAATTGTATTACATTCTAAATTACATGACTCAAATTGAATGATTAACGCACTTAAAACATAAAAATTCCAAATAAAATATGTCATAACTGCATATAACTCCCCAAGACTCATCTAAGTCAAAACTCAGTGAAAAGTTCAACAACTTAGTTGACTATTAAATAAAAGTCATCAGAACCAATAAAAACGTATTTAACCAATAAAAGCATGATTAAATCCAAAAATTCATATTGGTTGGAACGAACCATTTTCCAATTGAAATCATACAATTTATATTTCTAAAATGTACCAACAAATAATATGCATTTTTCAAACAAAATACACTAAAAATGCATTATCACCAAAAAAAAAAAACCTCTATTTTGGGGATAAATCATCAAAAGAACTCACACTAATTATTTATTTATCAAAATATCCAAAAACCCCAAATACAAGTATCTCACAAGATTTATAAAATCAAATATACCAAATATATAAAACTCACCAAGTAACCCACACATTTAATAAATGACGTGTAAACACACTAATACTTTAAAATGAACATTTTTGACATGTACAAATTTTTCACAAAGCAAATTCAACTCATCTTGCTATATTTATGCTAAATCTAGGTCTGAAACCCATCTCAAGCTTCCAAGGTGGTGGAGACTTTAGATCTCCAAGCTAAACTCCTAGATCTATGATGCATAGCTTCTCAATAACACTTTACTGAATTTGTTTTCAAACTCCTGCACCACCTCTTATCTTAAGAAGCGAAACAAAATTTCAAATTTTAACATCTCTTAAAACACAAACAACAACTTAATTACCATATAAATATTTCGTAATTTTACTTAAAAAATGCAATACGTTTTATTGGTTAATAAAATCTTAGTATGGGTTATTTAATTGTTTATTGACAATTATTATAAGATATAAGTGATATTAAAAGCATCTTCAACATATTTTTCATAAGAATCTGTCAAATCAGACATCTTTGTTTTCTTGCAAATGTCTTTATTGCCACCACAAACTCATCAATGGCTTTATCTGAGCTCCCACCTTCACTAATTGCCTCTTTAGCCAGTTCCTTCCATTTTCGTACATTTTTCTTGATCTCCAAACCCATTTTTCCTTCATTCATCACTTCATTCAAACATGTAACAACATCTTCCCTTTTCACAATTCCTAGTTCACCATCCACCGTAACTTTACCACCAACACGCCACACGTCTTTTATAAACTTGGCATCAGTCAGTTGGTCAGCCCATTTTGGGATCCCGACCATAGGTACGCCCAAGCTCAAACCTTCCAGTGTCGAGTTCCACCCACAATGAGTCACGAAACAACCCACTGACCTATGAGCAAGTATCTCGAGCTGGTTGCACCAATTTACAATCATACCCTTTTTTTGATTTTGTATGGTGAATTCAAGAAACCCTTTTGGCAACTTATGTCTCTCTGAATCTCTAACCACCCAAAGAAAGTCAAACCCACTTCTTTGTAAACCCCACGCTATTTCTTCCATTTCTTGTTGGGTTAGGGACACCATACTCCCGAAAGAGATGTACACAACTGAGTTTTGAGACTTGGTTTCAAGCCATTTGGTGCACTCATAGTCAAGTGGTTTCCATAGACTTGCACCATACCCTTTGTCACCTTCAATTCTTTCATCTAAGTAGGTTGATGGCACCATTGGACCTATTAGTTTTACTGGCCATTGCTCCCCCCATCGTTTCACCACCTATTTCATTATTAGACCAAAGAACAAACAAAATAATTAATCAGTAGTGACTAAGTTATAGTTACAATTTCATCATAAATTTATCAGCTATAATTTCTTTAAAATATATTGGAATAAAATAATTCTCAAAAATATGTCAAAAATATTAATTTGAAGTCCCATTTTCTTCAAGTTTTACGAAATTAAGAACATCTCGTCTTAATCATTTAAGAAGTTAGGTACATTTAAATTAATTTGCAGGAGATAGGATACCTATAAGAAGGATGGAAACTGCGATTGGTAAGAAATTGAATGTTATATGATACTGACAACTGATATACTTTAATTTATCAAACAAGGTAGGTAATCCACATAAATTGATCATACATGTTATATGTATCGTGTGTAAAACATGTTTTGAAGTGAGATTAGAAACCAACCACAAATACACACATGTTTCCACGCATGTATATGCGTGTACGCACACAAACAAACACATATGTACATGTATATTGAAAAGATTCGTATTGGAAAAAGTATTTGTAAAACCAATATACGTCACAGATTATTCATATGAGTTTATATATGTGTTTGTAAAAGTTTTCATTTTTTATGTAATTTATTTAATTTATTTTTTATTATAATTTAATTTAAGTTTAATAACGAAATAATTTATTTTTTGTTTAATAATATAACATTTTATAAAGATAATAATTAAGTATTTTG